TTTGGAAAGTTCACCTTGTCGTCACTAACATTATTTATTTATTTATTTATTTGAAATATTCAATATGCAAGCCCCTCAAGAATAATTGAAGTGTATTGAAGTAAATGATAAAGTACACAATAGGAAAGTAGAAGTATCAGGTGAATTCCAAAATTATCATTAAAGAATAGATTATTACTGTAAATTCATAAACAATAAAATATAGCAGATACAGGACGCCTCCTTACAACCTTAATTTAATTATAGATCATAAATTACAATAATTAAAGTTACAAATTTACATATTGCCTGCCCAACCATAAATTAAGAAATTCAATACCTTCGAGGCAGTAAATACTTTAGAACGTGTCCCAAAGTAGTAACAACTAAAGTTAAATGAACGTGAACGTGTAGCCACGCCAAATGTTGAAATACAGATTGACATGAATGAGTACATTGGGATGTTAGCTCCAACGCGCAGCTAATCTAAGATCACTCAGACAAGTGCTGATAGACATTAAGGGAATACGTTACCCCAGAGTCAAATTATACAGAAATAGATTCACCCGAAAAGCATTTTTAGATTGAGAGATTATAAGTAAATCAGTAGTAGTAGTAGTGCCGGTAATTGCAGCAAGGCACAACTCGAATAAGAAAAGAGTTATATCTAATTAAACGGATGATAATCTGCGGGTTCCTGGTAGAATTCGTAAACGATAAGATAGAATATAGATGAAGAGACGCGATACGCTCCGACTTACTGTAAATTACCCAAATGTACGTCCCAAGAAACGCTTAACATGTCCTGAGATGTGAACTCTTGTGCGAACCCTACGGACATAGCGTACAATATAATTAAGAATACGATTAAGCCAAGAGAATACATAGGCTGTGATACAAGGTATCACTTCCAGGTAAATAAGCATAATCGGAATAAATTGTTAGGGATGAAATTGACGTTTTTCAAAGGTGATGTGATTATCAGTATATGTGGCCAGGTTCTTATGTAAATCAACAATCTCTATACTTGAATACCCAATAGGAATATTAATTTGGGACGGATTTTGATTCATATTAAAAAAAGCATAGCCTTGGATTTAGACACAATTGTAGGTAGAGAACATACCTATGACCATTCAAGAAGTTGCCTAAGATTATAATAAATATTCGATTCAAGGACATCAGGTTTATAACAATCAGTACAGGCAATGAATATCGCCTGCACGCACTGGGTCCTATAGGTTCAGGAAGATCATTAATATACATCGAAAAGAGTAGAGGGCTTAACATAGAACCTTGAGACACGCTAGAGTATAAGGGACAAATTCTCGAAAAAAAACCATTAACATCCACAAACTAAGACCTACTAGTTAAGTAAGAATAAGTAAGCTGACAAGCGCATCTCGGAAATGCAAATAGTCTGGCCAATTTTTTCATAAGTACCAAAACGTTAATAGAATTGACAACTTTCGATAAGTTCAGAGCTACTAGGGACGTCAAGAAGCCCCTATTGATATCGCATCTAATGTCATTAGTTAAGTTCAGTAGTAAGCTGGTGGTACTGCGTCCATGACGAAAAGCTTATTGAGAAGGTGAAATGGGACTCTGAATAGAAGAGAGAATCTGGTTCTTAAGAAAATGTTAAACCACTTTAGACAGTACCGGGGGAATAGAAATTGGTCACGAATCATCCAAAGCATTCATTATTTTCACTTTTGGAATGGGAAGAACACGCGCAGTCTTCGAAGATGTAAGAAATGCTGCTTGGGTCAAATTAGCGTTAATATAAACAATTAGTAATCGCAAAATGTGCGGGAAGGTAAGATTAATAAAGAAAATGGGATTGCATCGTTCTCAATGGACTTCAACTTAATTTTATACAAGGCTGCAAGTGGTTGAACATCAGATACGCATGTGAATGGAACAGACCCATAAGTTGTCCCAGATGTAGTAGGGCCAGGCATTTCAAGGTGTACAGCATCGACAAAATGACCGTTCACCTCGTCATTCACATTACAGTGACCATAACTCTTCAAAACTCTCCACATAGCCCTCGATTCCAGAAAATAATTTATCACTTTCTTTCATTCCAAATGGTCTGCTTAGCCTTATTCACATAACAACAATAGACTTTTCAATTTCCCTCAGACCAAGAGAATCGAAAAATCGAATAGGCCAAATCTCTCAACGAGGTTGCAAATTTGATACGCCGTGGTATCATCCAATCATCAATACCATTTGGAATTTCCTTCCTATCAAGCGGGACAAAGATGAATAGCGATTCAATCAAAGAACTTAACAATACCGATTATAACTCAGTATTCCAGTTTTAAAAAAGGGAGGCGAGTCAAAATCAGTTGCATAGAAAGAGAGTCCAACCCAACCAATTTCTTTGAAGTCCCTATACTCTAAATACGGAGTGACATTTTTGCATTTAATGCGAAAGCCAGCAAAGGTTAAGGCATAATACGACATAAAAGAGCATTGAATCTAGTCACAATGGTGAAACAAACTACAATCACTCGCCAAATAGAAATGCAGCAACGAAGTAGTTCGACCTCCTAAGATCGGCCTTAGCTACTTTAAAAAGGTCACAGTTAAAGTCATCACCGATAATAATTTTAGACTTCTTCAACAGTATTTCAAAAGGGCTGGCTTCAAACGCGTTCAGATTCCTATTTGGCAAACTCAATAAATAGAGACTTACAAGCCCCAGGTTTCCAACATTTGAAAATTAGCTTAAACTTAATTACACTACATATATAGATACACACACCGCCACCTTGACTATGAAGACTTTCATTCGTAATAAGGATATAGACTGGATTATAAATTAAGAGGCTAGAAAAATGCACTTTCAACCATGTTTCACAGATAGTAATCAATTCAAATTTATTCTCCATAACAGTTTTGAATTCATCAAACATAATAGAACGCACGCCCTATACGTTGGCAATTTATATGTGCAATCGTCAACAACTCAGAGTGATTACGGGCGTGGCAGTTGGTTGAAAAGCTATTACTCACAACGGGGTCTAAATTAATATAACTCATAAGAGCAGTAAACGAGCTTAAGATAATCGGCCGGTAACCAAATGTTATATTCCAAGTAGTTCTTAGCAATCATTTGCCTGAAATGCATAATTAATATAATATGCATAAATCAATATAATTTGTTTATTTTAATTTACCAGCCGAAAGAATCGAAAATCACAAACTCATCAACCAAAGTTACGCTTAAGCCATAACTATCCACTCCTCAAGCATTGGAGTCAGCATTCGTGCCCTTATTGAGAAATTGAACGCAGCCCTGGAGGTCACACTTGAGAGTCAACATAACAAACGGTTTCTTTACATTGATCACCTTGTATTTCATTGTCTTCCTATCCTGCCGAAGCTTGGAACACAGAGCACTGAGTTCTGCAGCAGCCGGAGAAAGATGATTGTTAAGATATATGCGACCATTCAATATTGCGCTCGGCACATTTGAATCATCAATACAATCAGAAGCCCTGAGAGGACGGATATTTTAGGTTCTTAAAGTACCTACTCAAAATTTTTTCTCGAAGTCCAATTGAGCTAACCTTCACCAGAATAGACTTATTGCTATTGGTATAGGAAGTAAAGTTTACATCAAGGACGGACATAAGGATCGCATAAAAGGAAGCTAAATTAATCAATATCCCTGGAACGTCCTTAAGGCCCTCAGGCAAACCCTGGATGATAAATCCTGGCGTATTTATTACTCTGTGCGTCGTATTGATCTCCAAGATGCAGGCTAACAATTTGGAGTCAGTGTTCTTTTGAATCTGTTGTATTTATTTGCTGCACTTCTCAACATCAACTCCAAGTCCATCACTTTGTAGCTGTAGCTCAGCTCTGAGAACAGCGAAACCATTATCCACAGAACCCTCATAAATTGCCCCAGTCTCCCAGCCGGGTCATTGAACATCAAATTACAATAAGTCGTATCCAAACTAGGCGAGTGATTATAGTCCTTAGAGCGGTACCTACACTTATTATTAGCAGCCATTTTTTCTTTGCAAGTTATAGAGAACGCAGATAATGGCCCCTAATCACTAACTCTGTGCACATCCTCATTCGAGCACCCAATGCGTGAAGCATGCATACACGCCGAACAGCTACCACGTCCAATGAGCGGCTAGTTGCCAGTAGGGTTATTGCAGGCGACACATTTACAGCGTTGCTTTCAAAGAGTCAAATTCATGAACCCACGCAACCATTAGGCAAGTATAACACAGTGTTTAAGTAAGGCCAGAATACACCTAGACAACGTAATTTCAAAAAAGAGACGCACCGCCATAAAACAGCACTAAAAAACACCATCAAGCCGGCAGGAGCGAATGCTGGAAGTTGCCCGTAACTTTCACTATAACAATTTTTCGATCCAACAAGTAACTTGTAATCAATCAAAATTTAGAGTCGTTCAATAAATACGATATATTCAAAAGTTGTTAACGTTTTGCACTTATTGCAGTGAGACTCAAATTAAAAGAAGACCACAATTTAATTCTGCTAACTATGCGATAATAATAGCAAGTGCACTCACGGAAGCACAGAGGGACACAATTATTAACTTCTTCATCCCCTAAATGTAAGCCCCTTCATTAAACCACGTTACGTTGAAAATGTTCTTATCCAGATACTGTGCAACTATAGCACCCGTCGTCAGAAGAGTATTCAGCTCTTACCCATTACGCGCTTTACCTCCCGTTATAATATGATAGATCTCTCAACTAATGCGTTTCCACAGCATACAAAACAAACAAAACACTATTTCGGCTTAATTGCACAAACGGGTCAAGTGACCATAACCAATTAACGTTTTACTGAAATTTATAACCACCTGTATCCAGGGCCAAGTATTTGAAAGTCTAATAATTCAAAGTGCTTATACACTTTATGCACACAAATCAAACAAGCGCTCACGTCAACGTACCGAGAGAGAATAACATTAAAAGCATTAGAAATCTATAAAAACGTTGATTTGTTCACCTGCGTTTAATTGAATTGCGTAGACGTGCAATTTTGTTTAATAGATGTTCTAGTCATCTTTATAATCGGTTGCATAAAATGGAATAAATATAAATATTGAACTTTTAAGTAGCATTTTCAAGCGTGCAAATAATCCATCAGGAATGGTGTATCATCAGGACCGTAAGGTGTTAAAGGTACATCATAAGGCAGAGGGAATGGTGGAACACCATCTCTTACGACACCTAAAGGAAATGTATCTTCGCCAGTCTGAAAAGGGAAACAAATTCATAATTCATTTTCAGTTATATATTAAAACCGATGAACGTACAACGAAACGAGGCAAAAATAAAACACCGGCTTCATAATTACATATACGCAAAGAGGGTTGTATGTTAACATTCTTATTGAATGCCCCCCAAGCAGCTTTGGAGAGATTAGCCGAGCTAAGTAAAAACCAATAGACGCATTGAGCCTCTAAATCATAACGTGCATAACTTTTTATATGGGGCATTGCTTGTGAACGATGTCGCATTTTAGAACTCCACTGGTGTAAATGAAGTTTTAACCAAGGTTGCTTGTCGTTGGTACTTTTGCTGTAGGGTAAACACCCGCCACCCAACATGCCATCGTGGCTACGACTAACATTTCCAAAACTGGGATAGATCATTTTGAAAAGAGGAAACTGACGCACTCGCAAAGGCATACTATCTTGCCGTAAGCTATTAAGAAAATCATGTTGTACCCAAGTTTGTATATTAGCACCCAAACTACCAATGCTGGAACTTTGACATACAATGGGAATCTTCTCATCAACAGGTGCGCAATGTTTTTGCAAGAGAGAGCTGACGCGGGCATGACCCCACGGATGTCCTCTTGGCCCCTCACGATGACCACCCGGTACTGAGCCAATAAAAAAGACGCTGAAAGATAATTTTAATAGTTTTACAAATGCTTTATATCGAAACATCGCTCTCACTTAATGCTGCTGAAATCGGCTTTACGAATACGCGCTATCCATGGCTGCAGTTTGGAAATTTTATACTCAACCAAATAGAGCATTAGATCCTGCCGAAAATTAGTAATACTATCACCGGCCTTAGTATCAACTCCTTCAGTTAAGGGTGCTAAGCGAGGACTTATCCACATACCCTGAGTACGATTATGCCAATCGTCTTCATATAAATTAGCTGTAGACACAATTACACGCATGGAACCGTCTTTATAAGCGAATAACATCATTTTCGTATGCGAGGTAGAAAATGGGGTAGGCATAGTGACTTTAATTGCCGTTACATTCGGTTTATGTTGAGAAATGCTTTTCAATTCGGGACTTTCATCACCATACAACACCAGCAAAGGAGTATGTCTGCAAGATTTAAATGCAATTAGTTTTCGGACATTTACAAGCTGTATACGATATACTAACAGTATTCCAGCAAAATAATAGTGGCCAAGTAACCAGCCAATATCTACCATAAAATTTATTTGTACTGAGCTTTCTATTTCACCCAGACTGTCATCTAAAATCTCTTGTTATGAAACATAGAATTAATACCCAATTATTAAGATATATCCACGCAATAGCAAACCTTGGAAAGTAACGCTTAGTGGTTCATGATGTGTCGACTTAGAATCTGTAATTGCAGTTAGGAAAAGATTGTAAGGAGCCGCAGCTTCTAGTTTTTTGGCCATTTGGCCTTTTTCAACTATGACTGGTATATAATCTTTCATATTATGCATCATTTTTTGCTTTTTTCTAATATTGGACTCATTGCTGGCTTTGTTGCATGCAGCTGTTGCCGACGTTGACGCGCCAGACAAAAGAATTTTGCTGCATTTCTCTGGCAAGAAAGTTGAGTTATTATCACTTATTAACTTCTGATTCTCTTCTTTCTTTTTATTTATTTTCGTTTTAGGGAAAAGCTTCTCTAGTAACTTCAGCTGTTGCAAAATTAATTCAGAATTCTCCAGCAGTTCAGGCGGTATAGAATATGAGTTGGTTTGCTTGTCTAGTCCGTTTTCATATATACGATCCACTAAAATAAAAATTATACAGAAATAAAATGCAAACATATGCTAAGTGTTTTACAATGTGGATGAGAAAATTCTCCAAAATGTATAGGATTACGGCGATAGCACTTTTCGGCATATGGACAAGATTTAAGATTTTGCATAGCTTCTTGCCTTTCTTTTAAAACTTTACACGCAAGATATCAATTCCTTTGTGACTGCAGGTCGATAACGCTACATTTTAAGAGAGTTGCCGATTTTTCTGACTGTATGCATTTTTGTTAATGGTTTCGTATTGTTTTATATTGTTTTATAGTTCATTTTTTACTGTACATAATACGAAGGGCTCTTATGATCAACGAAAGTAGCTTGTGATTTCACCAGCTTTACCTTTTGAACCATTTCAGATAAAATCAATTTTTAGTTGAGTGAGCATATATTTAAACATTTTTAGAGATTAAACATTGACAGTGGAATATTAAGTTACCTTAACTATGTTTTTCTTATTAGAAAAACGACTTCTCGTTTATTATATTTCTATCACTGAAAAGAAATTAGAAAATTTTTTTATATTTAAATGCACAAAGTGTTAACCGTAAGTCATTGATTGATTGCCGCTTACAATTTAATTGAAAACTTAACCCATGTGAAATTCCAGTAGAGAAGCGTGTCCCACCTTGAACATTTAATATATTTTTTTAACTTATACAAAATAAATCCCAGCATAACATTTTCGTTTACGAAAATTAAATCTACGTAGAGCAAGAATTTACGAGTCTTGGCAACAATGTCAGTAATAAATTTCTCGTTCCTCTCATTGTGACTGCAGAAAAATATTAAACATTTTCGATTTATTAAGAAAAATTTCTAACACCCAATCGATCCGAGACTACGCGAGTTATTAGTGATTATATAAGATCAGCATTAGTCAAATTAGTTAAATTACGATTTATATATTTAATAAGTCGTCTACCCTGCGAACATACATTCATTCAAATTAAAAAAATGTGAATATTTTCTTTTCTTGTATTTCATATTGTATGTCTAATGACTTGTTTGTGACATAAAGGAAAAATTGAAAATAATATTTGTAAAAAGCAGAACGAAAATATGCGTAAATTTTAATAATCGTTTTATGATTGTTAAAAGAAAAATTTTCGAACAGTGGTGCTTTAAGTATAGACATTAACAGCCTATAAGAAAAAAAATCAAAAAAAAAAAAACATAAAAAGCTAATATAAGAAACGTTTCGATGGTGTCTAAGTGAAAAATCCTCATATAAAAATATTTGTTACACAGCCATTCATACTTATAGTAACTGCAACATAATATGCATTCGCTCGGTTGGAGTTCTAAGTTAATATCGCGTGCATTGCGCAGTGGCTTCTCCGCATTATTAGAAACTACCACCAATGTTACTTCAAATAATGGAGGTTCCAAGTCCAGGCCGCATTTTATATCAGTCGTATGTGGTTTTCCGAAAGACTTTTTAACATCAAAATATAAACCGGGCAAATATGGTGAAGATTCATGGTTCAAAACATCAACTTCTAATGCGGATGTCTTAGGTATGTGTATAACAGACGCGGAAATACATGGATGAAAAGAGATAATGCAGACCACGTGCGTCTATAGGGTATTTTTTTAAAGTTATTACAACACTACGAATTTATTTGTCTAAAGAGAGATCAGGTGCTCGTTTGCGCTAATGTTACAAACAACAGTGTCATTTTTTTTCTCCTCTTATTTTTTGTTATACCCAACGCGAAGAGGTTGGAACCAAAGCATATGCTATAAGGATATGCATATGCTGACGTGCCCCTCTCTCCATTTGTGTAACGCTACTCATAATCACTCTCCCGCTCGCAAAATTAAGGTTATCAGATTCAAATTTTACAAAAACATTGGCAGTTCTTTTACGCGTTTTCGTATTTAAAGTTAGCAAGTCGATTAAGAAACGCGCTTATAGCACAAAGTAAACTAGGATTTTGTTGTTTAGATTACAACGGTAAAAAGTTCCATCTATATTGAATGAACGATGCTATGGTACACGGGGAAAAGTAAATAAAAAAAAAAACAATAGTACAGAGCATCGAAATTTAATTTTTTTTGTTTTTTTTCCTTTTACAATAAAATTGGACGGTTTTTTGGTGTTTTTGTTTTTGTGTTTTGTTAATTTGATTCTCTTTTAGCTATTTCTTTCGTATATAAAGTATTATTTTTACGAGTTGAAAGATTGCACTTGAACTGAATTTTGTAGCACTGTCGCGTTTAAGTGCTTGTGTAGTTTGATACTTTTTAAAGTGTTAAAAAAATTTTTGCAAGTGGGAAAAGCTATCAATGCTTCGAATAATTCTATAGTACAATGGACAACTTACGAGAAAAGACTTTATATTCCTTTTGGTTAACTGTCTTTTCCTTTCTTTCTTTCATTGGCTGTGTTGCAATTGGGAGTCAAAGATCTAAGGTATTTCGAACAAGGCTAAAATACTTAGTATTGAGTACGGAGATGCAATTTCGTATATGTATATATATATATTTTCACTATAAACTAAAAAATAAATTAAATGAGCGGGTAATGTTAATCACCGATATATGGAAAGGACAGTCACATTTTCTTTTATATCCAAATGTTTATAACTTATTGCAGTTTATCTCCTCCTCCTTTCTCTTGTGCATACTATCATTAGCATAAAAACCATTTAAATCGTTTCATGGCTGCAGTGCCATATAACGAAAATATGATAGATATCTTATCGTTAATATTTTTGTATGACAATCCTTTTATTATCTTATTAAGCTTACCCTTATGAGTATACACACTAATTTTGTACCTTTTTTTTCATTTTTTCGGTAAATTTCATGACGACGATATACAAATATATGATGGCGTTGGTTTTGTGCATTAGCTTTATATATTAGTTTGGGGAAAAAGAAATCCATTATTTTTATATGGCCTTCAGGACTTTATTTAACATGTTTCGGATTGTCCGATTTGGGTCAAATATGCACCGTTTTGTTGTGTGATTTGTTGCCATTTTAAAGGTAACTTCAAAATGCCTCTCTCATAGAAGTCCTGGTCTCTATTTGCAAAAAACTCTAGTAGTCGATTTTCACAATCCTCCCTAGATTCCAATTTTTTATCATTAAAGAAATTTTGCAATGCAAGAAAAAGATGATAATCGCTTGGTGCCAAGTCCGGACTGTATGGCGGATGCATTAAAACTTCCCAACCAAGCTCCCGAAGTTTCTGGCGAGTCACTGTAGATGTGTGCGGCCTAGCGTTGTCCTGGTGGAACACGACACCTCTTCTGTTGGCCAATTGTGGCCGTTTCTGGTCAATCGCTATCTTCAAACGGTCCAGTTGTTGACAGTAGAGATCAGAATTTAGCGTTTGGCCATATGGAAGCAACTCATAATAAATAATCCCCTTCCAGTCCCACCAAATACATAGCAAAACCTTCCTGGCCGTTAGTCCTGGTTTGACCACCGTTTGAGGTGCTTCCCCGCTCTTTGACCACGATCGTTTTCGCACAGGGTTATCGTATGTGATCCATTTCTCATCTCCAGTCACCATCCGTTTAAGAAATGGGTCTATGTCATTCCGTTTGGCCAAGGCTTCGCAGATGGAAATTCGATCCATCATGTTTTTTTCTGTTAATTAGTGTGGCACCCAAACATCGAGCTTCTTTTTGAATCCAGCTTTGTGTAAATGATTTAAAACTGTTTTATGGTCGATTTTTAGCTCCTGGGCGATGTTACGACTGCTAACATGCCGGTCAACTTCGATCATTTCTTCGATTTTATCGACATTTTTGACGACCGGCCTACCTGTGCGAGGTGCATCTTTAACATCAAAAATTCCTGAACGGAATCTACGAAACCAAAATTGCACATAGCTGGCTGTTACAGGATCGGAACCATAAACACCATTTACAATTTTAGCCGCCTGGCTTGCATTTTCGCCTTTGTCAAAGAAAAACTGTAAAATGTACCGAATTTTCTCTTTGTTCGCTTCCATTTTTAACACGCTGTAACTCACAACTGAATGCACCAAACAAAAAACAGCAAAAGAATTTTTTTACTGCGAAATATCACCTTTCCAACGAGCATAAATATAAAATTGTTTGATCGATACTTTACGAGAAATCTATCTACCATCCATCTACCCAAAAAATAATGGATTTCTTTTTCCCCAAACTAATATATATATATATATATGTATATGCATATTTATAGTCGATAGAATACATACTAAATCGATTAATCGAAGGTTCCTCAATATATATTCTGTCACTTTCGGGTACTGGGTACTATAAGTATGAATTGCTTTAATGGTACGAAATCTCGAAAACCTTCGTGCAACAGATTGGTGTTAACGAATGAACTTAATTGTAAGATGCTGATTTAAACAAAATGAAAAAGCGTATGTGCCGCTACACATGTCGGATAATCGATTTGTTACGCGTTAAATTTAGTAACGCAAAGGAACTCCAAGGAGCTGTTGTGTAACACTTGTAACCTTTGGACTACTTCTTATGGGGTTGTATAATTCATGTATTAAAAGCAAATATGAACCGCTCTATTAATAAAATCGACATAGATTTTGTCATAAAAAATTTTCGAAAATAGAGTTCAATCGGGTTCTTTCCTTTAAAAAGGGCTGTGTTTGCCGCAAGATTCTTTTTCTATTAAGAATTGAATTGCATTGAACGTACTTTAAAACAGAAAACAACCGCTTTTTGACCTTTTCTTAATTTTCAGGTCAGCGAAATTTCATCAAAATCTACACATCTCAAAAATTGCGATGTGTAGATTAAATACAAAAATACGTGGATATATATCGAACGGGCAGACGGGCAGATAAGCTTATATAATAAAAAGTGGGTCCATCTTAAGACCATCTAGATGTTACATGCGTCTGCACAAATTTAACATACCCTGTATGACAAGTGGTGTAGCATTTTGTTGCTATTTGTTGTGCGTCTTGTTTTTATTTCTAGAGTTCTACAATTTTATATCGAACAAAAAAAGATTGTTTAACCTAACCTTGCCCATAAAATGATCAGATTATCCCAAGTAACCTGATAAGGCTATTATGCTGACCTGATAACGCACAAACAAAACTAGTTGAACAAATTTTAAAAACTCAGATGCGACAATTATTTATCACTCCTGCTATTCAATATCGATATTTTTCTCATATTCATCTCGTCGTACAAGTAAGTGCTGCCTGAAAATAGAAAAGACAAATCGTTTCTGCAGTGATGACGGTTGCTTGACCGCAGGCAAAGGCAAAGACCAGGTGGTAGGTTGTCTACAAATAAGCTGAAGTCTTCTTCACGGAGAGTATTCAAATTATGTTAAAAAACGATGTTACTTTGAATATAAAAAGCGCAATTGGTGTTCAAGTTAAATTTTACTTCTCATGCCCACATCACAATTGAGGGATGAGGCAAAATGCCTAGTGGAAGTAGCCAAAACCCAGAAATTTTATTATGAGATACCTTAAAGCATCTAAGCATAGGCAAGCAGGCAAGAAACTAATGCATATTAATCTAAAACGGCGAATACCTATCTTTTACCTATCGGGATCATTTAACCCTTCTTTGCATGATTTTTTCTATTTTTTTTAAATAAATCAGGGTGATGTAATTAATGCTCTAGATTAAACGAAAAATATTTTAAAAAATCCTAGTGTAAATAAAAATATGTATTATGTAAAAAACAATATGATGGAAATTTACATCATCATGCATTGTCACATATTTAGCTCAGTACTAAATAAATAAAAAAATATAGTTTACTCAATCTTCTTTATTCTTTATGATAATTTACAAAACAATTATTATTCGTATTTAAGCACAAATTGACGCCACATTTATTACACGAAATTGTAGAATAGCCTTTACATTTGGGAAATTTGCACCGGAGTGACCCACCTACTTTTGGCCAATGTTCAGCACCATCTTTTCTTATGTCTTTTGGAGGTGGTGGAGCTGGAGAACCTTTTCTTTTTTTTGATTGTAATTCTTCTTCTAGTACACTGGTACTAGGACGCCGTCTTTTAGCTTCTTTGGTGGTTCCTCTGTTGCATAGCACAAAGGCCAATTCATTTCTGAATTGGCCCATAGTAAGCAGACTCTTTTTAGGTTCACCTCTTTCTTGAGCATTTTTTTTATAAACAATCCAAAAGTTTATAATAGCTAGATCAAATAGATGGAAAAAAATACGCAAATACCACTTTTTAGACCTCATTGTTATATGATTTCTGCCCAAAAAGCTATCCATGAGATCTACTCCTCCCATATGTTTATTGTACTCTTGGACAATAAACGGGCAAGTAATATCAATTTTTGCTTTTGTTATCCTGTCAAATTGATTCATTGGTACTGTGACAAACCTCTCATTGAGATGCTTGATAACAGGGCGGATTTTATAAAGCCTGTCATGTTCTGGATGACAGATCATTGTTATTAAAATGTAATGATAACTTTATTTTCTCAAAGTTGTTCAGTGGCATTGTTGAAGAAATGGGCTCATATCCAAACTTTGGCGACCAGTATGATCTTGTGCTAGGAAATTTGATTACTGACGTGTATAATAATATACCAAAGAACTTATACAAATCATATTCATTACTCTGTATTATATATAAATTTGTCTCCTCTACTAATGTTTTGATAAAATCTTCAGTGATAAAATGGTTAAAACATTGATATGGAGTTTCTAGGTGTGATAGACCACCTGCATCAGTAGAAGTCCCCAAGAAAGTAATTTTATCTGTGTCATACACCAGATTCCTTTTTTTCCAAATCAAGCTTCTTTTGTCAAATGGAAAACTGGATGAAGACTGCGAATTGGATGAAGTTGATGGGTGAGAGGTTTCTTGATCTTCTGGTTCTACAAGAGGAGGATCAATGTCAGCAGTTTCTTCATCCACATCATCATCACCATCGTTCTCCTCCTGCAACACTCTTATAACTTCATCAGCATCGCAGTTTTGGTCATCAAGGCCATCTTCTGATAGGCAACCGCCTTCTAACTTACTAAGATAATCTTCAATATCTCTTTCATTCAAGTTTCCCTAAAAAACAACATAAAATAAACATTTACCAAAAAATGATTGCCATACATTATAATTGAAGTTACTGCATAGTGATGTAAATTTCCATCACATAATTTTGCGAAATTTATTCACAGTGTTTTGATATAAATTGTACATAAAATAACAAAAACATGAAAACAAACCTTTTTTCCACTCATTTTCACTTTTATTGTACTTTATATCTCCGTTTATTTCCATAAAACAATTTAAAATCTCGCTCCTTTCTTCCAGTCACAACAAACAGCGGAATGACAAGTTCTAGGCCTGGTAGTTCACAGTGACGTTTGCTATTTTTTGACAACTGCGTTTTGTTGTACGCAATAGTCGCTTAAAAAGTTGCCGGTAACAACAAATTTACAGTACAAGGGTTTTGAGTACCTTTTTTTGTTGACTAAATATTATGATTGAAATTTCCATCATCATGCAAAGAAGGGTTAAAATTTTGTTGTAAAGAGATTGCATTCTGCTACGTGCAGGCTGACAATAACTTGAAAGCCTTTTATTTGTGGCTTTCAAAAAGACATTTGGCTTGAGTTTTGGAAAAATATTTCTGACGGCAATTCCTTAAGTCGTAAATAATTTGTAATATTTATACGGTTCATCAATGGACACATTTTGTCCGTCTGCTTCTAACACGCATAAATCGACATTATAGAAATCCCACAAAAGTATACGTATTTTTGGTTAGCGTGAAATTTTGAAATGATTTTGCTTTGTTCATTTTTGTCCGTTCGTTCGTGTGTACTGCAGAACTTACGGTTGCAAGGTAAAGAGAGAAGGATGGAAATTTTCTGGTTTTTTCTTCTCCTTTTCTCTTAATATCATTCCGTGGATTTACACGATACATGTAATAACACGATGATGGTCAGAGCAAAGTACGGAAATAGAAAGAGATAGATAGTGACCGCAGCCTAATAGACGTGGGTGCAATTGTTAATTGCTGTGCCTTTACCGAACGAGTGCATTCATTATTACAGCTACATACAGCCAGTATGCTCTACTGAACTGAGGTTTGAGAGTCTGCGAACACTGATTTGGTCGTTCCAATTCTTATCTACTCGAGTACTCATACGTATACACTCTTATTGAGTAATCGGCCTGAACCTCCTCCAGAGTAAGTAGGCAATTATAACTTGTAATCTGAGATACAAATATATCTTAGGGTTGTTGAATGCTTTCGAATTTTTTTTTTTCTTTCACTTTGAGTTTGTGATGACTGTAAATTCTATTCTAAAGCGAATCTTGTATATCTAATATCTACTTCCTATGTACGATCCAGCCAACGCGGTTTGTGATGAATAAGATTTAACATAAATTAAGTAAACAATAAATTTATCCGGAAAATTAGCCGAGTAGGTAAGAACCGCGAGTAACAATTCAATATTCGTGAGTTCAGGTGTCAGTGCGTTAGAGTTCACTTTGGTCGCAGCTATAGTAAGTGTTCAGTTGGCAAAGGCAAAACAATCACCGATTCGGCATACAGATTCACTACGCTGCGACTGCCAACACCCTATATCGTACCCTTTCTTTACTTCTTCCTTGTGGCCGTCAATACGGTACATGAATAGCGGATTTCCCCTGAATGATTGGTTATTTAATAAAAACAAAATTAGTTTTATAGTTTACCAAAAGTGAATCCAGTAATATTTATTTCTCCCTTAACGGTGCTGTGGATTTTGTCTTCTCATTCTGATTAATACATAAAAAATTTGTTCCAGACACTGGAAATAGATGCTAATAAGAAAAAATATTTTACGTAAATTTTTTTTATGGCGTATGGAGCTGATTTATCCCCACTACATGTAAATACAAAAGTAAACGTGTATATATGAACGGACATGTATGTCTTATTTACTCTCGGAACGTGCGCATGGAAAATTCTCTCTAAATTTATCAAAAGATCTGCACTTGTATTGATTGGCTGACTAGTTATGTCATATATGTCGGCCTTGCTCGATTATAACGTCTGAACTTGTTTTGTTACATTGTCGTGAAAAGTTTGCGATCTACAGCAAATGTTGATATAACACTTACTAAGAAAAATGTAATAAAAATGCATTTAAAACGTTTGCTTACACAGCACATAAGCGTTCATTATCGAGTTGATAATAACAGTAAAAGTAGCTTAATGCAAGTTTCTTTTAAAAGATCCATTATGAAATTGGTGCCACAGGGAGCGTCTTTGGTTTAATTCCCGTATCTGACTTTTTCTATTTCGTCGTTGTACATTACTTTTACTTTACGGCAAATCAAAGAACAAATAGGAACATTACAGTCGGACAAGAGCAACCCGTAGATACCCTAAAGCACTTCGTCTAGACTAGTTATTCAATCGTTTTGGTACTAATACACCAAAACTTACACATTATTTTCATGCAAAGGCGGCAGCATACTTTTCATTAGATTCAGAAAATAGATTTACATGGTTTAAATTCGTTAAGGTTGATTTCTTTGTCAATTTACTATTATGAACTGTTATTACTTGACTATGACATATTAAAAACAAGCGAAAGCGTTACAGTCGGCCTATGCCGGCTATTAAATACCCTACACTACGTTGTCTAATTCAATTCTTATTTCCCCTGTCATTATACCGGTCAATTTAAAAAATGATTCTGAGCCTGTCTGTTCATTTGATGTCTGTCCATGTAATTTTGTCGCTAAGCTGTGGCTTGCAGGTTTTGAGGTATTTTGATGAGATTTGATACTGTGACGTGTTTTGATGGATATGTCCATTTTCTTCACCAAAAAATCGCAATCGAAAAAATTGCAGTTTTCGAAATTTTCCGCGAAATTGGCTAAGTAATAGTATTTCGGCTTTCTAAATTGGTATGAAAAGTTTTGACCTCCTGGGGCAGTTTTTGAACCTCCTCTCATCTAACGAAAACTGAAGTTCATGCGACACAAAGGTTTAACTTTCAATGCTTCATGATGAAAATTATATCATAATAGTGATTGAAGACAAAAAAAAAAAAAATAACTTTGCCAAATTTGGACCATCTCGATCTAGTTTTTGGATCCTACCCTATAGGAAGATTTCAAAAAATTGATCCTTTATGGGGCAGAAAAGTCTAAATTTTAATATTTTATGATGAATAGTAATATGCCATAAAAAATGATATAAAAAGTGCCTCAATTATTGAAGCTCTTGCAAAGAGGTCTAATTTTTAATTTTTAAAACAGTTCCATAATAGTAGGTTTCTATAAAAACAGTGTATACTTTTTGTGTTCTGTGGCAAATATAGAAATTGTATTAAATAATGTGGTATAGAATATTTAATAGCAGGCCTATCCCGACTGGAATGTTTTCACTTGTTCTTTTATTAACGAATTGCAAATACGGCCTGATGGACTTAAACTGGCCAAGCGGATTTTGTGCACAACTGCTTGCAAAATTTCCTAACATATCCAAGAGAGTCATAAAAATTTGGTATAAGTTGTAGATCGAAAAATTTACAAAAGGCAATTATCTTTAGTAGAAATATATAGAAACTTTGTAGCGAGCAGATATTTGTCAAAGAATTCCACTTGTTTTGTAAAATAAAATATTCTACTTTGATCTACAAATAAAGTCGAGGAGTGCAACACGCACTCTTCTTCTACTCTTAAGAATCTAAAACTAAGCTAACACCAACGGAAAGGTGGAATTGATTTTAATGTATATAGCAGATATATCGGTATGAAAAGCATGTCCAACAGTGGCTTAAATTTCGAAACTAAAAAAAAAACTTTTTAGATTTGACTCCAATGTCTCTTCGTCGATTTGATGTATGCTATGGATTTTTATAAATTAAATAACATTTTTTTAATAAAAATAACTTGAAATGTTGTGCGCACAATTATCGAAATTACACATATATACATATGTATACGTATAAGTTCGATAGCATTTGCAAGCATATTAATATGAATATCATTATTACTCAAATATATTACATTGTAAAGTAGTATTGGGTATTTCTTATTCTGCTTATATTCTGTATATATGCGCTACATATATATTGTTATGAAATTCGCTTTTCTAAGGTACAGTCCATATCATTTGACCGTTGTTGTTGTTTTTTTGTTCAAAAGAAATGCACTTCAAAGTTCTTTTATTTCTCTTGCCTTAACAGTAGGAGTATTTACTTACAATTCTATTCCTTATATGTAGGATTATTCACAATTTATATTTTGGCTATACTTTCTACTGATCAATTTAAATATTTTCTTTCTACTAACCCACCCTTCCTTCCACAAATATTCTATTTATATATATATATATATTTACCACCATATTACTAGTACCCAATTTTATATTTTTATTCTTAATTCGTTAACCTGCTTTTCTAGGACTCGTTTTCCTCGGCCGGCAGCTACATGCTGCGAATGTGCATTTAGTTTTTCTCTCTTTACGGATTTTATTACTTAGCTAGAATGAAAAGGTTTTCTGATTTCCGTAATAATATTATTGATTATTATTATCTCTATCGCTTTATCATATATTCTATGTCTATCCATCTATTCATCTGTCCTATTCATCTATTTCTGGTGAAATTATGTGTATTAACAGAAGATTTCGTATAAATGACGAAAAAGTTAAATAAGAAGTAAATGATTTGAAGTGTTTTCGAATTGATGTTTATTTTCAAAATCATCCAAATGAAACTTATAGATTGGCTTAAACATATTTAACCCTTAAATGCACAGCGCGACGTAGGTCTACGTGGTGTGTTTAAAGTCTCATATCTTTCTATGTAGCAACGTTTTCATGTTGTTTTTTTTTTTAAACCGTTAAATGCATATTGTTTCCAATTTTATTTTACTTTTTATTTTCATTTAATTTTTTTTATCAAATTAATTTTAAAATTAAATAAAACTAAAATGTACACAATTGGCAACACTATACATCCAAGGTTTAAATCTGAAATTTTTATCTTCGCCATGTCCTTGCATTAAGTGTCGTGTTTATGAGTACTTGACTGGATACTTGCAGTATGCATGTAACTCGTATTTAAAATATATTACTTTTGGATAACAATATACATGTATCGACTTTTGCACCTGTGAACCGATGCTATGCTATATTACAGATAGGCTTTACGTAGCATTTAATGTTTATTAAGCCGTTGTCATAAGGAATTTCAAAATTTTGTTGACAAAAAAAAGAGAGACATATTAAGCGCATTAATACATTTATTCCGCTAAAATTGATTGTCCCATAAAACAGGACCAAACGCATTCAATTTCCTCGGAATATCACGTAAAGATATTGATAGATTGTTTTGATTGATTAGATATTGATGCTCGTACGGCATCAGTCTCAATTGTTTACAAGCTGTCGTTCAGTGCGTATTAAAGTGTAAATTGATGGATGTCATTTATGGCACTGCATGTGCTTTCCGTCCTTACCTGCATTAAACTGGGACAAAAAATCCGGCCGAAGTTATGGAAATAGTCAAGTTGGCAGTTAGAAAATGTTTTGCGAGATTTTCTTGAAAAAAATGTGTCGGCTTGCAGAAACAATGAAAATTCACATACGTTCGTCCGTCTCCACAAAAAGCAACACAGAAGGTGATCTTCAACTTCGTCTGGAAACGTCTGCCGGTTGCAGCGTGTTTTCTGCACTTGCCTCCTTTTGATTATCAACGATTTAAATCGATGCAGTCATATTTAGCAGACCAGCAGCTCTTCAAAGTTAGAGATGTACGAAAACCACGAAATTTCCACCATGAAAGCTTGCGCAAGCTACCCGATAAGATTAGAAGAACCTTAGGTAACGATTGGGAAAATTTTGATTATTAAGTTTTGGTAAGATGTATGCTTTAAATAAATTTGAATTTTATCAAATAGTATAATAGAAAGGAAAAAAAAAGAAAAGTAGCTAAATGGATTTTTATCCCATACTTTTTTATACCCACCCCTGTAAGATGGGAGTATACTCATTTTGATTTTTTTTTTTTTGTCATAATATATGTAACACCCAAAAGGATCTTGATCAGCGCGAAATTCTGGATTGAGTTGGCCATGCCTGCCCGTCCGTGCATATGTGTGGTGTTTGTTGCGGGCACTCTCCTGATCGCAAAAATGAAGATATCGACTTCAGATTAAGTAGAAACACTGGAAGTTTCTTCACGTAGGTTGGTATTGAAAATGGATCACATCGATTGGAGCGGAAGCACAAATGTAACTTCGTTTTTCTTAACAAAAATGTTTGGGTTTTTGCTCGTTCCTTGAAACTTATAAAAGTTAAAAGACTGAGATTTTCCACATTTACGAACCATTCTACTCCTTACGTGCAAAAATGGAAAAAATCGCCTCTGCCCACACAAAGTTACAAGTGATAATGTTATCCTTTTTCACTTTTCCGAGGTTTTATGCTTATGAAGACATATTAACTGCCTAAGTATGTGAAATTCGGCCCACGCCAAATGCAACTTTCTTAATTGGTTTTGATTAATTTAAGCTTGTCTCTCCGTCTGTCTGTCCGTGCCACCCCTTCTGTATCAACCCATTGACTTTATATATATTGTCGAAATTTGTTGCACTAATGTGTTTTGAGCCAAAGATGAATTTTATTGATCGGGAAATGTTTATGATCTCTCCCCTTAAAGCGTCCTTAGTTTTAAAGAATTTCTAACTAAAAATCACTAAGTAATATGAATGGAGTATGAGAATTTGGGCCGGGAGAAACGCATTTTTCCTACAGAATCTAAGGCTTTATATCACAATAAAATTTTGATTTTTAGTATTTCTTAAACTAAAAATTGATCCATAATAATAATTTATCATGAAAATCGAAAGTCCAAACTTAAGTACTCCGCATAGAAGAGTTCCCGTGCCCATTAAGCCGTTATATGACAATATGCAATCAGTTTTTAATGATGGTGATAGATGAAGATTTTAGAGATCTTTGCCGAAACAATTAATTTTCGTAATTACACTCCAAGGGTTCTCATGAAACATACGCATGAAAATTAATGAGACGGTGATACAAGGTATGTAACGCTCGGCTTTGCCGTAATATGTCTTTGCTTGTTTTGTTTTTGTTTTTGTTTTTAACCTGGGTTCTTTCCTCTGTACCGTACGACGAGAGCACGTGAGATTCGTTCTTCCTTTTGTTACATTCAGAAATATGCTCGAGAGGCGCCATAAAGTTGTCGATACATTCTTGATCCTCATACATTCCGAGTTATTTTGATTTGTCTTGACTGTAGGTGAAATTTGAAAACGGGCTTGATTCGTCCAAAATTATCTGCTATTTTAAACAGAAAAATTAATATGAAAATCATTGGAGAGAATTTGTTTTTTTTTTGGTTTTAATATAATTAATTATTGAAGCGATATGTGCTATACCTGTAAAACCTGTCGGGAAAGAGAGAAAAAGGGAATGATTTGTCAAGTTTTAGTGGATATGTGCTCCATTGATGTGTTATTAGCTAAGTATGGCACTGAGATTGGGACCCGCGAACGCCGACTTGGTAGTCGTGATTGTTATCTGCTTATCTATGCGGCAGTGCAATAATGAAAATTATCTAAAACTTACATAACAAAGGGTAGCAATTCATCCAACGCGAAGTCCCTAACTTCTAGCTTATAAGAAATTTTTTTTTGTTAAATCTGGTAAAAGTATTTCTTAGGTGTTGGATGTCAAAGATTCGCATTAAGCTGAATATAATTTTAGCACTTATTTTCTTGTTTTTATAAAACCTGTCGCCAGTAAGTGGCTTAGATATATTTGTTATGCATAAAATTTTTGGAATGGTTATATTACTCATTACGATTTAGAAACTATAGTTTAAGCTGAATGAGAGTTAAAGCGTTAAGAAGATATTTAGATTGTAAATAAAACAACAACAATTTTTGGTATATTTAAGTTGTTTTATATTTTCAACATTGGCTAACGTGTTTTTACATGCACCTGATAGACTTATGTGCGAATATTTTCGCTAATGTCGTTTTCAATTTTCCCCCTACAACGATTGATCGTCTTATTCAAAGCTTATGTATCTTAAAGGGTCCCCGTTGTACACGTTTGATAGTTACAAAGACAATATCATTCCCCAATGATGGCTTTAAATGTATGGCCTAACTAAAGCAATAGCTGAAAAAGAAGAAGAAGAAGAGAAAAATGATCTAATGTACCATGAAATTCGTAAGGAATACTCAAATTAGCGGCAGAATACACTTCGCAGTTATAAAAGTTATTGAAAAATACAATATAAAAGCAAGCAAATTGATATATTTCATGCGAGAGAGATTGTAAAGTGCAAAAAATATGTAAATAGAAGGAAAAAAGAGGGAAGAGAAGGAGAACAATAGAGTCGTGTGACAACATCGTTTCATGGCTGAAAAAAAAAATATAGTAATTTCAGTTTAATTTGACTGAAATTCCATGCGATTAATTCGGACTCGTAGCATAATATTAATTAAGACAGAGTCAGAGTTACTCTCTATCCTATTAATTATTTATCAAATTAACTAGTCTGGTCGTACCGATTGTGAAAGTCTGCATTAGGCTCTCCGATCTGTTCGGTGTTTACATATCCAAAATCGTAAAAATACCAATAGAAGCATAAAATACTCAGTCTTGGTAAAATTTGACAGGACGATGGCGTGTCCACAAGTTGCCAATACTGAATAGCAGCTAAAAATCTGAAAAAATTCGGAAACCAAGGACCTCTTCGTCGAAACGTATTCGTATCGGTCGGCAAAAAAAAGTATTTGCGCTAAATTGTAAACATACACTAGATAGCGGCCATCGCCTTCTTATTTTCGTTTTTCTTTCTTCTCCCCTCCTCGACGGACGTCTCCATAGTGATTGGTCATATGTTAGAAAAAAGATTAATTTTTTTTCGGCGAAGGAACTTGACTAAATTGATTCAAAATTGTACGCTGGTCTAAAGTTTCATGTGAGTTTTGATGTCCATTTTTGGCATACTTGTGTACCTTTAGTATTGGATATAAATAATCCAAAATAGTTTAGGTAAGTCTTAACCATGACTAAATAAAAGCTTCACCATATAGGTATTTAAACAACCATGCCAACATCTTAAAAAAGTATCCGCTACGTAATTTAAATTTCATTTACGACTGAAAGCTTTTCCACCATCTAACGAATTATATGGATCTGGGGGTAGAGGCAGAGATAAGTCATATGGGCAAGTATTTCTTCAATAAATCCTGGGCATTAGTAAATGCACTACAGTTCCTACAGGCCTGCATCTATATCTCTGTGCCTTCCTGCCTCTTTTAGAACATCCTCGCATGGCAGATATAGGGAACATCCTCTGAGTGGTTGATCTTATATTAAAAAAGAAAAAGAAGAAAATTCAAAGCTAATTATTGCGCTTAGGACGTCCTCAAAAACTTCAGAACTTCAAAATGTAAGTAGAATAAATGAAAAAACGACAACTTTGAAGACCTATCACCTGTCGTGAGCACTCTTTGCACCCAAATAGGGTACAAACATTTAGTACGAAAAATTTCCCTAACTTTATAAATTTACTTAACACGTATATGTGAATATTAAGATTAGATCGAAGCAAAGCGTTTCTGTTCATTTTGCATAATGGTATATGAACATCACATGCGGTGTGAAGGTATATAAAGCTTGCGTGGATGCATGCGAGATACAAAACGACCATCTTTTATTATATGTTGTTGCCAGGCTTTTGTCTGCTTCTTTGATGTTATTCCATGTAATTTTGTGTTCAACCTACAGATCACAATTTCGGAGTAACTTTGATGAATTTTGATAAAACCGACATGTTTTGGTCCAAGGACCGCGAATATTGAAAATAAAATAAAGATCGGAATATATTTTCGATCACTTCTCAAACAACGCCTCACTTTAAAAGATGTTTATATGAATATGTGAATTAAGCAAAGTGACGTAATGTATTTAATGGTGGTCCGGGTCCGACAATCATGCTTATACTTACACTCAAAAAACATTTTAAAGCAATTGAGAATCGCTGGGTTTTTAAATAGATAAAATATATAATGTAAACAAATGTAGTGATGACAGAGGTATCAGATTAGAACAAAGTGTGTAGGCGCACCTGTATATCAGTTCGCTTCAATTCAATATGATTGCGTCTGGTATTAAAAAAAAACTAAACCCGTTTAACCTGCACGTGATGTTCAGATATTATAATTGTAAAGATGATATAAATTGTATTTCAAAAGCTTATCTCACTTATTATTGCACTTGAAATCACTCACTGTCTCTATATCTCTCTGATGCGACGATTTCATACTTTCTCTAATCAAATTCCATTTTCGGGATGAATTCCAAGGTAATTGATATTATTGTTATGTTTCTATATTGTTTTCATTAAGTGTACATGTCTGTACTTGTATGTTCGAGCAACATTTGTGGCGACATATTGGTGAACTCAGAATCAAACGAAGAGAAAGGGGAAGTGGGAGGGCGGATATAACAAAATTTAACTTACTCTCCTTGTAAAGGTAATAGTCGTGACTTCCATAAACTACATAATTTCTTGATCTTGGTCTTGAACCTAAAATGTCTCATGAACGCACACCTACTGTTGTACTTAAATAACTCTCGTCAAAGTTAACATACACTGCTAAAACTTAGCAGATCTATTCTCAGTCAAAAAAAAAAAAAAGTGGACGAAAATTTTCAGTAAGCAATCTCAGCAGCATTCATATAAGAATGTATTTGAAAAGTCATTGTAGATGCTGGCCACGTACTTGGCGGAAAACTTCCGAAATTATTCAACTCAACGACGGCTTGTTTATTCCATAAACTCATCTGACAACAGACAACATATCCAATTTGCAATTAGGTACTACTTGATATGTAAACATCGAGTTAAAAGTTAGTGAAAATATTTCGTAAATCCGTTTAGAAAATACTTCATAATTTTTAAGTATTAGTTCGAGAGCGATCAACTTAAAGTGATTGTACTCATCATCGAAATCGATTTGCATTTGCATTTAGTACACTACAAAATATGACTCAAACTTCCTGTCGAGTATACACATTCTTAATCAAGGTAAAATTACTTATCGATTTAGCCAAATCTGCTCCTCCGTCTGTTTTTTAAAATGGTGCAAAAAATACTCCATCCTCTGCCTTATATCTGGCCAAAATTAGAGTATAACACGTATGTTCTGTGTGGAGGCGATCAATCGCATACAGTGAAAGGCTCAGCTACTCATGGGCGACGGAAGGACGTCAAGAACTCTCGATTAATTCAGGGCTAGTTTTCTACAGGGATGAAAGAGATAAGTCCGTCAATTGAACTATTCAACAAGACTACATGTCTTTCTCATCCACTCTTCCTCGAGGTCCCTGCATACCGCGCAACACACAACCATCATTTTTCCTGCCATACCAGGTGCCTCCATTTCCAAGTCGAACGGTTACAAATACTATTCTCTTACTCCACTCTTCTCTTCCTATAACCCCACGTACAGAGGACACCCTCTTAGTGGCTGGTCAAAAAAAAAAAAGGGTATATGAAACGTGTACTAGGTTCAATTAGATGACCAGTATAAAGATGGTCTCGACCGAATAGCTGATACTGTAGACGCTTTAGCTCTTCAGATACTACATTGGTCGAGACCAAAAGTCATTCATCATCAATCAGTCATATTGTTGCTTTATATACGCCACTGGATAGACCATACGCTTGAGGTATAGAAAAAGCGACTGGTCAAAGGCTTAAGCTTCATTCGGAAGAGGCTTGCAAATCTGCTGCAAAATCACCTCTAGTTTGCATTTCGGTAGATGCTTTTAAATATTAAATATGAGCGTAAACCTCTTACGTCGGTCGGTCGTAAGTTAAACTAATTCTATATACTTTCAATTAACTACATTACAACGTAATTAAGCATGCAAACGCGCTTACAGTGGCTACAAAATTGGAATCTTAATATCTACTAGAAATTGATTGAAAAATTTGGCAAATATTTTTGTCTAAAAAAATACTAACAATAATAAAACGAAAAACAAATGATTTTTGTATATTTACTAGGAGAGACAAGGGTCCAAATTTTATCATTTTTTTGCCTTTAAATTTTTTTATAGGTGTTGCGGATGGTGTTGGCGGTTGGCGTAGTTATGGCATCGATCCTGGCGAATTCTCATCATTTCTTATGAAAACCTGCGAACGTTTAGTTCATTGTGTTAATTTCAATCCGCAACGACCAGTTAATCTCCTAGCTTATAGTTATTGTGAATTGTTGGAACAAAAGAAACCCATTTTAGGTAAGTACCTCTTTAAGAATACCTAACACTTATTATATCAGTTTATGAAATATTTTTCCGAGAACATTTGCCTTTACATGTATGCATGCGATGCACGCTCCAGCATTAATAATTAGATTTGTTTGTTATCATCATCATCGTCATCATCGATGCCTTACGAACGAACGATGTGCTGTAGTGCTGTGTATATTTCAACGGTTTTATTATAGTTCTAAACTGGTTTTCGAATTGAAATGAATCTTTTTAAAATGTAGAGTATAGAGCGTTGTATAGATTAAGGTAGGGATGATGTCTTTCTCTTATTATAAGTTTACACGAGAGTTTAACACTTTGGCCGTTACACTGATAACAAGGTGTTTTTATTTGTATGCGCGATTTTTGTTGTTGATCTTCAGTTTTGTGTATCTGTGTGTATGTGGTTTTGTTATAAAATTCACGTGGGTTTGTATATATTTTGTCCTGTTCTAACGTAATTGATAACAAAAATATATCTGTGTGTTTGTGCGTGTGCGTGTTTGTGTGACAATTTATTATTCATATTGACGTAGTACTTAATTCAGATTTCAATTGAATGTTTTGATGATTTGAAACAAAAAAAAAAGAAAAAGGAAACATAATAAAGATTTGTTTTGATTTTTCGCATTCTTTTGTTTTCATGAACTATTCACTTTTGTTTTTCTATTTTCTTTCTTGATTTTTTCTTTTCTTTTCTTTTCGTTTTCGTTTTTTTTTTTTTTTTTTTTTTTTTTTTTTAGCATTGGCTCTCAGCCAAAGTTTATTTAAAAATGTTCAAACATACAAACACATCTCGCATGCAAAGCAAAGACACATTTTTGATGGGACACCATATGGTAAATGTGTTATTTTTAGAGCTGTATGTTAAGGCATTGTTTTATAAATAATAACATTTAGCATTTATTTCGTCCTATGACCCTAAGGGCGGAATATTTATAGCGGCGCATACATCAACGATTGATGTTCACTTACTTTATTTCAATTTAAATCGATTAAACTGCAAAAGTGCATCTCGACTTGTAAGCTTTAGGATTTCTAGTACTTGATCAACTACAATTTAGTATGGCCCTCAGAGGATTCATGAAGGTGCACAAGAATAGTTCCGGATTGCAAGAGAAACTCAAAAAATGATTCATTACAAGCCGTCTCCCATCAAATTAACCACTAACCTTCTTTTAGGCAGAATATATGTTATGTGTAGGAAAGATAATAGGCATTTTGAGTCTATGCACATCATAGCAACACCAAAATTTTTTTTTGGTGGAATCATTATAAAAAATAAATCAACCATTTAAATTCATGTTAATCAGAAAGACTTAACATCTACGGATAAATGAATGGAGTGCGCGTCACTTTTTCCATATTAATGATGCTTAGCGATTTCTGGGCAAGTTCTGCCATAGGAACCGGACCGTAGTTGTGCTGAAAAATCATAATAATACGATGAGTTTTGGCGTATTGGCATCCTAACTATCGTAAGGCATCCATTGTTCATCATTACTCAGCAGCAGTAAATGCTCTTTATTTGTCACAAAACCTGACATATATTTTTTGTTGGGTGAAGACATTTTCTGGTTGTCATATGTGTTGGTATTATGATTGAGTTTTGTTACCAAACGGTCAAGCCTTAAAAGAAACCTAAGAAAAGAAGCTTAAGTAGGCATGTTATGTCCACTACATGCACGGTTAATATATTCTATGTATAAAATTCTGGAACTTAGTTGCATAATTAATGCAAGAATGCAACGTTTAATAATATGAATGGCAATGGAAGGAGAGGAAAAGGGAGTATGGATGAACAGCAAAACAGGGTGTATTCCTTTATTTAAACAGTTGATGAGAATGCAAGCAAAACGTATAATATACATGATGAACGAATAATAAATGATAATACGCTGAATATAATCATCTGCATTGGCAATATTTATACGGGTTTTGGCTGAAAATAACCGACTTAAGAAAGAAACAAAACAGTTTACCTTTATAAATATTTTAATTTTTTTTTTTTAGACTTCTGATAGGTCTACATATTTCCCCCAACGGAATGCTCCCATTCCCTTCATTCAATCCAACCGGTATTCGGAGCATTCCTCTGCAAGTCAGCGAAAGTGATGACTTCCCTGATTTGACAAAATCGCTGTCCTCCGAGCACAACATTTTGTGATTAGAGAAATGAGAAAAATATGGGCATTTGGGACTAAATTAACTGTTAACATAGAACAGTGAATTTTTGCCATAACAATATGATGAAATATATTTTCTTCGTTTTCCTTGTGCCTTCAGCTCCTTGAACGAGTTTTTCCTTTTTTCAGATAATCGACCAAAATACCTAAATAGCTACTTCACAAAACAGTCGCCATGATGTTCCTGATCGAAATAACAACTTTTGTCTTTTTTTCGTGCCAATTTTCCCTTCGCAATCTATTGTTTCCACTGGTTTTGTTTTCCGAATGTACTGGTGTATTCAAGTTTCCTCTACGCTAATTAATCGACGCTTAAAGTGTGCCAATAAAATACCGGAACACGCACATAACGTGGGATCAGCGTTCTCATGCTTAGATCTTTACTCAGTGTGTGATTAACACATTCTTTGGAGCTACTGTTCTCTCTCGATTTTATCCGTTATCATGAAAAAACACTCGCACCGATTCAGTCAGACATTCAAGGGATGTCCTCTATTCACATAATGCAGTGACGGTCACAAAGACGTGAGGGAAGAGAAAGAAAGAAAGAAAGAAATATAGAAATGGCGGCTGAAGTCTAGTCGATGTGAGTTCAAAAGATAAATTTTATACTTTTACTGACTGAGCACTGACTATAGCTACGACAGAAGTAAACTCCATCGCACTCAGATTTGAACACTTGTGTCGATTACTCAAGCGGAAGCAAGCAAGCCTTGCTTCCTTACGGCGAATACGTAAGAATTTCAAAGTATTCTGTTAATTGGGAATGCTTCCGTTGGCCAATTGGAACTATTTTCACCCTGGAGTACTAAATTTTTGGATCATAATAACTATACTCTAAGTTCTAAATCGCAGTTCACGAGCTCACCACGGTGCACATTTCTCTTTGCTTTCAATTTTGTGGTATCTAATTTTAAAATCAGTACGTGTTAAAAATTTTAAATAGCAATTTCTTAAGACTACTTGAGGCGAGGTTCATGTCCATTTTGAAACTTAATCAGTCATCCATATCATATTGAAGGTTATATGAAGGTTTTTGTGCAAAGATAGCAAAGAGGCGGACAAGCGGAAATGCGGATACGTTTAAATGTAAGCGGATCTGTATCACATATATCTTATAAAGGTTGTATGAAGGAAAGTATGAAAGCCCGCCTTTCGATATTGGGGCTAACAAAAACTACATACGTTCGAAGGAAACCCAATCTCTCATAAAATTTTATACATACGGTAGAAAAAAGAGAGGGAAGAGTAAAAAATGATCATCATTCACAACCATATACGTAAAGGAATTTGAATAAAGTGATGCTTGATGCACTCGCCTATTTATTGTTTCGATTGCTTACAACTACAAAAAGAGATATCATCTTTTCTTCACTTGTTTTATAAACATGTATAAATCTGTTGAAAACCCTTAAAAATTTTAAATATTTGCTCGATCGAATGGCAATGAATTCCATAACTTTATAGCGTTAACAAAGAATAGTTTTGATGATGTTAATTGTCTTATAGTTTGCCAGAATTAAATTCATCGTCCATCAGGGTTTCATGAAACTAAATTTCCTCATGTAAATATCGCATATCACAAAATAAGTCTCTCTGGTCTTGCATATGCAGGAAAACACTATTGGCAGGCGCATATCATTTTTGAATAGTGCCAGCCTTCGAAGAAAGAACGTGTCCAGATTTCATAACATTCCGACCACTATTTTACAGAATTTTGATCACTATGGACAACTTTCACGGGTTTCTGCCGTTTCGGATTTGACTTTCAGAGTAGGGATAGATATCTGTTTCATCCCTTATCACATATCGTGCATGAAAAAATCCTATTTCCTTCGCCAAATAACGCTCACACAATGTTGAGTAAACATGGCACACGAGTGTTCATGCGAACTAGTAAATGCAATATATTCTGATATCTTTAAAATGTTAGCCATCTCAACTTTTCGGTCTGCAAAAAACATTTTGTTCTATGTTTTCTGAAACGATTACCAAATTCGGGCGACCAGTTAATATGACGGTGCTTAAAATTAATAATCCGTCTACAAATTGCTTTATTTTTTTTCTTTGACAGCAGGAGTCACCATAAAATCTTTTAAGCTTTCGCTGATTATGACCAAAAAGCAACGTTTAATTAATACACGAAATTCAGATTTTTCATTACTCAGAAATCGTATGGATCTGTCAGTAGTAATGCTGTATATGTGTCAGACAAGAAACTTCTTGGTTGAGTACTGATAAGCATACGAATGAACAACGAGTCCAAAGTCCTTTCTGATATTCTGTTATTCTTTCGTTTGTTAACAGCTTATCTGGCGCAGCTATTGGCCCAATTTGTAATTGATTATTAGATATACAGCCAAAATTGCCATATCCAATGGTTCTATACAATATGAGTGGCATAAAAAGACATTTTATGAATATGAATTTGTTGCTTGCGTGTATTTGGACCATTTTTTACTTCAATAAGTTATTTATGGAGGAATTTATACAATATGGAGAAATTTATACAGTTATACAATATATTAGTCATTATATTTCCCACCTTTCTTATAACATGGCGATACCGCGTTAGAAGAACAATATTGGTGTGGCAACGATTCAATCATCGACCCATTTTCGTACTTCTTCAGCATTATGAAATCGTGTGCCACGTGCTGCACCGATAAAAACTAACGGTAATCAGAAGGCGCTATGCCATTGTGTGCAGCAGAACTTCCCGTTCGAGCTGCAACTGGAAGCTGGATGACTTTGCGTCTGTTAGCCGCTATTGCTGGACTTCTCTGCAGCAATATATCGTTCAATTTGTTTAATTGACGTCGGCTAACATCTGCAGTAACAATTTTATTTGGTTTTACCGGCTCGTAATACACTATATCTTGCTGATCCCACCATAACCGTAGGAAAACTTTATGGCCACGAATATTTCATTTCGGTGTTGAGCTGGATTGCTCTCCTGGACTAACCCATGACTTTGTGCGCTTGGGATTGTTATAGTAGATCGAATTCTCATCGTCACTCACTCTTGCTCGGCGAGCAACCAAATTACGTTTTTGAAACTGTTTAAAATAGGATTTTAAGTCGATTCGTATGATAGCCATTTTCTCTCCTTTTGGGTCTTTCCCACCGCATGTGAACGTTTAGAAACAATTGATTTGTTGAATTCCTTGTTGGAAAGTTCTTTGAGAGTTTGAGCTCATGTTTCGTACAATAAGTCTTACAATTCAATGGCTCTTTTAGTCCTTCAGTCCGTTCTTTGTCGTTGACATTCAAATCATCACTTATGAGCCATTGAAACGAAAATCGACAATTGGGATATGATGCACCACCATCACCATAAGCTTCTAAAAGTGTTTCATGCGCTTCGGAAAATGCAATTTTGAACGTTTCATGATTAGCGTCTGTATACACTCAATAATACTAAATGCAAAACTGCTGTTTTATATAGAGAAAGATCGAAATCATTGAATTTAACCGTTGTGTAGATTCTTACTTTGCATCATTTTCACTAATAGACGTCGCTGATCAAAATATATGCAAGCAATTATTAGCTAAGAGTTTTTCCAAGTGAAATTTGGAATTCTTGGGACGGAATTGTTATTCTTTCACTTTCGTTTGCACGAGCGTATCCATAGTTCTTTAGTAGAATGTAGTTTCTTCGCTTCTTTCTATTGCTACCATTATTGGGTATAATGGATCACATTTTTATACCCTACACCACTTGTGGTACAAGATATATTAACTTAGTGCAGTCGTATATAACAGGCAGAAGGGCTTAAATAGACGCACCTTTTAAATTCAGAATCATAATCTGCATTGATCTAAATCTGTCTATCAGCCTGCTATCTGCCCATGTAAATTTGTGTTCAAGCTATAGATATTCGAGATATTTTGGAGAAATTTTGGGAAATTTGGTTCGACCCAAAGACGAACGCTGTTGAAAATGGTTCGCACCGATTCACTTTTTCAACCACTCCCCATATAACACCCTATTCTGAAAAGTAAAAAAAATTGTAATTTTGCAAATTTCTTGTCAAAAGTGGCTAAAAAATATGATTTCGGCATTCTAAATTGGTATAAAAACTTCGGATTGCCTGGGGCAATTCTTGAATCCCCCCTCATCTAACGGAAACTAAAGTTTATATCATAAAAAGGTATAACCTTCATCGCTTTATGATTAGCATTATATCAAAAAAGTGATTTAAGATAAAAAAATTATTTTTGCCAAATTTGGACCATCTCGGATTACTTTTTAATCCTACCCTAATAAGGATTTTCGCGAAAATTGATCCTTTATAGATCAGAAGTCTAAGTTTTAATATGTGGTGATGGAAATTGACCCATAATACTATAGTAATTTCTCGCAAATGCCGCAGGAGGTCCAAAGCTTTCATACCCATTTAGTATGCTGAGATACTACTACTTATCCACTTTTGCCGAGAAATTTTGGGAATTGCAATTTTTTTCCATGTAACGACTTTTCACAATACGGCTTTATAAAAAGAGTGGGCGAAGAAGTGGACCGATCCGAAACATTTTCCACAGTGTTCGTTTTTGGGTCAAAACACGCCACTGTACCAAATATCATGCAAATATCTCAAAAATTGCGACCTGGAACTTGAACACAAGTTTTCATGGATAGATATCAGACGGACTGGTAGGGATAGATCAATTCAGATTATGATTCTGAATCGATACGTATAATAAAAGGTGGATCTATCTTAAACGAGAGGGAAAAGTAGTTAATGAATCGGACTAAACGACTTTTCCTTACAGGAGTAAATTGATTGATAAATAAATTGTCTCTTATAATGAAGACAATTATGCTTTCTTATCGGAACAGCAGAAAAATTTAAATGATCGCAAATTGAATTTTGATGGAAATTACTCTCCTTCGTCTATATATATGATATGATCTTATTTTCCAGATGTAATATATTTAACAAAGTGAGAAACATTTTTCAATCGAACTATGTATTCTCTATTTTCGCCAGTGCACCACCAATAATTCCATCAATACTCTTCCTCGATTGAACTCTGTTTACACTTTCATGGGAGGATTCTAATGATTTTCTTTGTTTTTTCGGGTTAAACGCGTTTCTTTATTAAAATCGATCAAAATGCAATCACGTTGTGGGGTGCGGCAATGGTTTGGATATAATGAGGAAAGTTCTCCGAATGCAATCTGCAAGAGTATGTGTTCTTTTAAGTCTTTTAACGCATTAACTTTAAAAGTATTTAATCTTTGACATCTACTTGTACGATACAAACATTTTCCTACTTTAAGGAAAATAATTATTTAGGTGGGCATCTAAGCGCAAGTTTTATCTTTCTTGAATATGAAATTTTCCAGGTAGTAGCACAGCTTGCGTGCTTGTACTGAATCGTGAGAATAGTACGGTCTATACGGCGAATATTGGAGATAGTGGTTTTATGGTAGTGCGCAGGGGCGAAATTGTACATAAGTCAGAGGAGCAGCAACATTATTTTAATACGCCCTTTCAGTTGTCACTGCCACCACCTGGTCACGATCATAATGTCCTAAGCGATAGTCCAGATTCAGCAGACACTTTGAGCTTTCCCGTTAAGGATGGTGATGTCATTTTGGTGGCTACAGATGGCGTCTTCGATAATGTGCCCGAAAAACTATTATTGGATATGTTAAAAGAAGTAAGAATTTATTTATTTTCAATTGATTAAAAGTTTCTATATAAATTTAATTTTTTAGGTTGAAGGTGTAACAGATCCTGTTAAACTACAAATGACTGCGAACTCCCTGGCGTTGATGGCTCGCTCGTTGTCGTTCGACAGTGACTTTATGTCACCATTTGCAATTAATGCAAGACGTAATAATATAAATGCAACGGGTAAGTATTTAAAGCAGTACAGGTTTGAGCAAGGAGCTCATCTCCTTGACCGCGGCTAGCAGCTGAGATATCTCCTTTTTTTTGTAATTTATGTGTATTTGTTTTGTTTTAGGCGGCAAACCTGATGACATAACTGTGGTACTCGCGACTGTAGCAATTTAATTTTTTTTTTTTTGTGTTTTAATTTTAAGATTATTTTAACTTTTGATATCATGTGTATAACGAAGCGAAAATAGTTAATTTTTTTCCATTATAACTTTATTTCTCTATTTTTGTCCCTCTCAACATCTTTCTCAAGTTTTCAAACACTACTTATAGTTATTATAGCGCTTTAATTTTTTAAGTCCATCATATATTTTAAGACTTTTTTTTCAGTTCTGTCGTATACTCGACTAGTGTTTTAAGTGTGAACAGTTTAGAATGATTTTATTTTTGATGATTAATTATTTAAATCATTAACATCTAAATATTTACATATATATATATGGATAATTTTTTAAGTTTCTCAGGTTTTATTTTATTTCATAAGATTGACGTTTTTTCCTCATGAATTGAAAAATCCCAAATTTAGTTATTAAAAAGTTGCTTTCAGCAGTTTTTCGTGATTGTAATCATAATTTTTTTTGCATTTTTTCGCAACGAAACGATCATTAATTTCAAACATTCTAAAGTTAAACGACGTTCTTCAATCGGGCTTTTCTATTTTTGCTTCAATCTTTCCATGCAAAAAATAATCGCCATTTTGTAAAAAGAAAAGTAAAAAGAACGGCAAAAATCGAATTAATATATTTAGCTTGTTTGTACTGCTTACTGGGAGGTGTGATGTTCGCTACATATTAATTTCTAGGCTTATCTAGGTACAAATATTTGAAAGCCCCCTCCCCCCGCCGCCAAAAAAAAAAGTGAATAAGAGCCACAGAAACGTTTACTTTGCATTATTCCCGCGTACAAGCAACATATATAAAATCAATCCAATCAATACTAATTAAAAAATAGTTAAGATTAAAGGCAAAAAGCAACTGGCAACAGTAATATTTTACGGAAAGGGCAAATTCGATAACAGTAACGAGAAATCGCATTATTGTCGGAACTGTATGAATAAATAAAAAAAGAAGAAAATGAAAAATAATAAAAATAAAACATAGAACATAATCGTTTTAATGTAAAGAACAACTTTTTTTCTATTAACGTTTATTTTTTAGATCATTTGGTTTTTGTAAATTTAACCTATAGTGACTCAATAGTACTTCAGCGCTTATAAAAATTAGTAGCAAAATATACATGAACTTTAAAGCATTTCCACAAAACGATTGCTATTTGCGAAGTAGTAAGAAAAATTGAAAAATTTGAAGAAAAACCTTGGAAAATCACTAATTGTTACGAGATGCTTGTTTGGAAACGGCGGGTTTTCTTAACATTTCGAATTGGTGAACTAATTTACGACAGCCGCCGGAATATCTCTTTGGTTATGATCTTGTTGAGGATCTCGTGCGACTTCTGCATTAAGTGCCCCTTCTTCAGCGTTATTATTATCTGGTGGAGGTTGGCCTTCGTCGCCGCCCCAATTAAAACCGCCTGGACGATCTTCCGGAAGCGGTTGATAATTACGGTCTATATGTTCGTTAAATAAAAGCTTTCTACAATTAAACGCAAAATGAAAAAAAGAAAAGCAAGTGAAAAAGAACTTCAGCCCTTAAGCGACGATAGTGCGTAAAACTCGCATATGATCGCTAATGAATAACAAAAGAATATATTGAAAATTATAATAACTTCGAGTATCTATACTGACTTAATTTTTCTAATTTAATTCGATAATTCGCGCTTCGATAATCTATGATTTCATCATCGAATCTGAAGATTTATGTTTTGATGAATATTTCCGAATATACAAAATTATCTGTTTATGATTATGTTAAAAGGATATAATTCTCTTTGATGTATGGGATAATCTTGTAAAGGGAATGAAAATTTAAAGTTTGACGTAAACTTACAGAAAATTTGGTGTTTTTAGAAATTTGTAACCGTTTCTTTGGAATGGAAATACGTCTTCGAGGAAGTAATATATATGGCCGACACCCATGCCAATTATATCCACCCATATGGTATTACCCAAAATCATGGAGCAACACAATAAAACCCAAGGTAAATAGGGTGCCTAAAAAACGAGAAAACCAAAATAGAAAAGTATTAAAGTGTACGGCATGTATTATTACGTTAATTGGAATAAGTCACGCAGCTGTTATATTTTTAGCTTGTCGCGTTTTTTATTTAAAAGGACCCACCTGAAAATTCATGACACCGAAAAAATTCATACGTACACCTGGATTACGACGTGACCAGACGTACACTAGCATAAGTGTAAAGGCCTGGCCCAAAAACAATAGGTTTACAAACATGCCGAAAAAAGTCATAAGAGCGGCACCAAATAAAAACATGGTAACAAAATCGGAACTTCGTCCACGAAAAGATCCCTCTTCGAGCATGCGACAATAACGATAGGTGAAGACAATGTTAAAAAAAAAGGTTATGCCTACTGATGAACCAAAAAACAGGAAGGTTGTTGCTAAACGCCATAATTGTAATTTACGTAAAATTAAAGTAGGATTGAAATATAATTGTAAAGGCGATACAATATCCAAATGCTGTAAATAATCGGTAAGCCTTAGTATCATTCATTAAATCAAAAACGTGACGTGTCTTTATTACTTACCACAACCAATGTAGTAAGGACGCATGCTGTCGTGTAAAAGCGAGTTACTGGAGGAATTTCTACGTAAAATTGTCTTATACTCTGAAAGGCCATCGTACATTTGCAAATGGTATGTCGAAAATTATTGCTTATTGAAATTCCAATCGTCGGCTAAATAATCCTCGCTAACAACCTTGTGCATACAATCCTTTGCTCACTATACTGCATTTATGCAGTGTTTTTATAGAATTATATGGTTCACAACTTTTTTGAATTAATTGTTATTTAAATATTTACTGTTATCAAGTGTGCGTTTGCAGAAAAACGTCGTTTAATTCGCACAACTTTTTGTAGCTAATATTTATAACTAATGAAAAAACCACAGAAACTTTCCTCTATTCAGCTGTTTTTTACATATACAGCATTGCCAGAATTACATATAGGGTGAAAAGAAAAACTGACGAAGGAATTTAAGAACAACAATATACAACACTTTCGAAATTTTGAAGGAAAAGTAGACTAAACTCAATTTTGACAATTAATGCGTAACGTGCAGAAGTGAATTATAATTCTTTTTTTATTAGTTTAAACATACGATAGCATGCGTTCATTCTATTGACGCGCAAGGTTGTGAACAAACTAGAAAGTCCAACAGTTTATTTTAAGAATATACTTCAGACATGTACCATAACTTACATACTATCACAGCTTTTCCTAAAAGACTTAAATGGAAATACTGCAGGGAATGTTGCGAATTTACATGAACATTGAAGACAATATCTGGCTCTTATTAATTAATGCACTAAAATTTTGTACCTTTAATTATTTATTTATTTTAAATATGGCTAAATTGAACATAAATTAACACAATTAGTTTAATTAAATCCCACATTCGACAACGAAAGCACTTAAAATAATAGCTGCAATGGCATCGTGCCCCAACTGTCAAAATGTAAGTCTGTACGTATAGTTGAATATATAGTTTGCATTGCATTATTTCATCATGCAAAAATTTTAATTTTGCTGCATCCTTTCTCATTGACAGAAGAAAAAAGACAGTGATGTAGTTAAGAAAACAAAAACTAAACATATGGTTAATATTTTTCCTTTAAAATGGTTAAACGAGTTTTTACATTTTGCGAAAAAGAAAAAGTTCGAGGTCAAGTAGTAAATTAAAAAGAAAAAAAATCAAGAAACGTTTTCCAATTTATCGGACTATATCCAAATAAGTGACCATGATAGTCAGTCGAAGAAAGAAAAAGGCAAAAAGGATACGAATAGTTGAATTCGCCTTCTATATCATTCAGGTGAACAGTGCACACGAAGGTCGAGGATTTTGAAAAACAGCTTTATCAGAGACTTTACGAACAAAGAGACAGTTGCTAACATTGCTTTCTTTCCTGCACCCTCTAAAAGGGTAATTTCGAGAACATTTCTTAGTGTGAAAACAATAAGCAAAATTTTTACGAATACAGGACTGAATTAAATGTGGATATTTAATAGCTCGTAGACTTGATTGAAAGTCGTCAGTGCTGGTTTTGTGAAATGAAATCTCGCTTTTCCAAAAGGCTGAAAAAAGGTGAAATTGGCCTTTGTAAGGGGAAAAAATTGAAAAGGGAGGAAATGACACGATTATTTTGAAAAAGTTTTTCGGCTCGACGACCGGAAGGATAGGAAATAAATATTTGAGTTTAGGAAATATACATATATATATATATTTATATATATTGTTACGAAAATCCCAAATCTAGCTAATGTCAGCTAAGGAATTTTCCCTAATAATAAATTCCCTGAAGAAGGAAAAACCATATGAGCATTCGCAGGCGCCTCATGAAGTTGCAGGCCGATGAAAACGATTAGTGGAAAAGCAAACAGGTAAAAGCTAAGTGCATATTCGCGGGCTCGTCATGCAGGTGCAGGCTGATGAAAACGATTAGAGGAAAAGCAGGCTGGGATTAGAAATAAAATCATAAATTTAGGTATAGTAACATGCTTGTAAAAATGTATATAAATAGCATATTTGGGGAAGGCAGAGTTAGTCGGGCAAGAACATTTGAGCTGAGAGTACGGCCAAAATAAATTGTGAATAATCCTACATGTAAGAAATATAATTGTAAATAAATACTCCTACTTTTGTGAAAGACAAAGTAGTAAAATAAAAGAACTTTGAAGTGTATTTCTCTTGAATAAAATATCCGCGATCTAGTGATACGGACTGTATCTTGTAAAAAGCAAATTTCATAACAATATATATATATATATAATAAGCTATAAACTATTTATATATAATCTATAATGTCTATAATCTATAAGTATATAATCTATAATATCTATATATATATTTATTTACATATATATATATTTATATTTATATATATATATATATATATACATATTTTTGAGCTTTTATTTATATGTATATACTATATAAGCTCTGTACTTAAAAATTCGCTTATTTCATCAAATTATATGTTATATATTAAAGGGCGCATGCGCGACATAAAGTATTCTTTGAAAAAGAAAAACGAAGGACAGTAATCGTGCAGTTTATTGACAGTTTCACCATTTTGCACACCTCTGCAAAGATTTACTGGCTTCAAACAAATTATACGGTCCTTTCTATGGGTTTACTACAATGAAATTGTGAATAGGCAAAATATTAAAATGTGTCAATGATGCCAAGTTTATAGTTTATAGGATAAAACGAAAAATATGCCAATAGTTAAAAAAAAATGTATATTGCTGTTAGTATCTTTTTCGCGCTCCGTATAGAATTCTAATAGAAAATTGGACAAAAACGACACAGAATTAATTTTTCATCGCCATTTTTGACTTGGCTGCACTTAAGCAAACATATGAGCACTAGTTATGTATCTATTAGTTAACTAGCTCTCATTTGAAAGGCATACTATCAGAAACATTTCGTTTATGTATGACGTTCCTCATTCGAAATTAATTTCGAAAATAAGGAACAAATTCGACGTTTGTTTGTTTACAATCAATAACAAAATCATACAAACGTGAACCTTTGTGTAATTTTTGGACAAAATAAAATGAAGTGAAAGTTGAAATTTTATATAATACATATAATTTCATATTTTTATTTTTTAGGAATATTTTGACTGTGAAAGTGAATTTAGAATTTTAATATGTATCATTTTAGCTTTATTTTATATATTATATTAATGCATTAACATATGAATGTATCTATAAGGAATTTGTATTTTAAAATGAATTGCAAATCAATTGTAATTTTGTATTATATGAATAAAAGCCAACTGTGTAATTTTCACAAAACACCTTAAAGGTGCTTTACACTTTACGTATTTTATTAAATTTACAAGATGTCCCAGTTTATATTTCCTCACTTATTCGCCTCAATTGGAAGGCGAAACGTCGGCACCGTCGTCAAGAAGCCTTGATCAAGGAAATCAAAATTTTATTTCCATAATTTTCTTTTGATCGCAAACTTTAGGAATAAAATATTTATATGAATATAGGCAAGAACATATGTGTATGTAGATTAACTCACCATTCCACTTAGACCTTTTTTCCATTTCTTCTATCATATCTGATACAACAATAAAAGCGTTTTATGATAAGCTTAAGAGGAAATCGCTATCCGTCACCCAAAGTAAGTGTTAAACGGATTGGCGATAAGACCAATAAATCTAGTAGACTGATGAGTTTTTATTATTTGTTGCTCCTTTGTGCTTTATCAATGATAGCAACAGTATAAGATGATGTATGGGAGGATTGCTGATACATAATTGGCAAGCTTTGGGGAATTAAAACAATTGGAGTAAAAAGCAAAAAAAAAAAAAAAAATCAATTAATTTACTTACCTTTCACAAACTTAACATTTTTATGTTGGTTCACCTGTTTGCAATGGAACAATTTTGTTCGCAAATTTTTTTCATTTTCAATTTACAGCGGTTTTCTTTTATAAATGCAGCCAATACTTTAACAAAGCGTAAGCAATTGGCAATTTTGAGAGAGCGCTTCTCGCGAAATATAGCTAAAAAAGTTGAAATACGAACATGAAACTAAGCTGACATCATAAACGATTAGAAGGCGTATTAGTTCACTTTATTTCATTCTGTTAGCTACATGCTTTATATAATTTTGATTTACTTAGTTGAGTAAAAACAGTTCGATGTGAACACGAAGTTCTTTGTTGGAATGTAGACCTATGTATTGATTAATTGGATGTATATATACTACACATATATATACTATATATTAGTTTGGGGAAAAAGAAATCCATTATTTTTATATGA